CACACACACACACACACACACACACACACACACACACACATCAGAGCTATATGAACACATCCTGATCTCTAACTCAGGATGACATCAGTGTGTGTGATGTCATGTGGACCACAGACAGACGGGAGGAAGAGGAGGAGAAGAAGAAGATGGAGAAGAAGAAGATGGAGGAGGAAAAGAAGATGGAGGAGGTGAAGGAGGAGAAGAAGAAGCTGGAGATAGAGGAGGTAGAGGAGGCCTCCTTCATCCAGAGTTAGATCTGGAAAACAACATGGACCCATCAATCATGAGGTGACAGGTGACTGGACAACACAATACAGTCAGGACAAAAGCCGGACACACAACCAGAAACACACAACCAGAGACACAACCAGAGAGACACATCCAGAGGGACACAACCAGAAACACACAACCAGAGACACACAACCAGATACAACCAGAGACACAACCAGAGACACACAACCAGAGAGACACAATCAGAGACACACAACCAGAGAGACACAACCTCATTCAACCTCACCCATCCTCATTATGCCTCACCCATCTTAATTCTACCTCCCCCAGCCATTAGCTTCCTCTGAAACATGCTAGCTGCCTCCCGCTGCATTGTGGGGGATGTAGTCAGACGGTGGTAGAGGCCTCCCCCCCTGCCTCCCCCTCTGGGGACCTGGTCCTGTGTGAGGAGCATATTGTGTTGATGGGATTAGCTCCCTCCTCAGCCGGTTATCCCTCCGTCCATCTGTCCATCCCTCCATCTCTCCGTCCATCTCTCCATCCCTCCATCTCTCCATCCCTCCATCTCTCCATCCCTCCATCTCTCCATCCCTCCATCCATCCATCAGCCCCTCTCAGCCGGCCAATCGATGGCCGGTGTCAGGATGAGGTAAGTGATGACTTCAGAGTCATTAAGTGATACGATAGGCGGACACGCAGCCATCAGCAGCCGCCGGGAAATGGATGGACCCCAGACACCCGGGTCGTATTTCACTCACACACACACACACACA